CCCCCCCCCCCCCCCCCCCCCCCCCCCCCCCCTTCCCACTCTCACATGTTTAAAGCATCTAGAAAAAGGCCATTTTTGAATCAGAGGACCCTCTTGATGCATATTTAATTCCCTTTAACTCTAGAAAGTGTCGAACATCTTTGACTGAACTAAGAACAAGGTGGTGACCATTGTTCCTACATTGAGTGGATCAAGCGCTGTGTAGCGGAGGCTGTGACCACGAGGTCCCATGTTTGATTGAGTTACCTGTGTGCTCTGCTTGTCGGGCCAAAGAGAGAACAAGCGTGTGAGCGGAGGACTGGTGCTGAAGTCATCTTTAGCGCTGTTGGACTGTTGTTTTCGTCGTGAGCACTTTCACACGGACAAATTTTATGCAGTAGAAAAAAGATGTGATTTTTTTTCTCTTTGGCTGATTTTCTGAGTTTCGAACCACAAATAAATGCTTCAACCAATCACGTTGTGTGGAACGGACATATTCAGAACATACACAATAGTGTAGGATACAACACGGAGGCTCCTTGGACCCAACCAAAATGGGTAACTTTATTACTCCTTTCAACCTCGACAAAGGCCGCTCAGACCAGATCAACTTCTTCCTTTCGTACCTTTCACAATAAAAGTCCTAGACATACAGTATACACTGTGTAACTGTTTACCAGAGGGAACTGACATTCACTCAGAGTGCTCTCTATCAGGGAACTCATAAAAGATCTTACAGCAGCTTTAAGCTTTACAAGAGTTTAGCTCAGACAGACTGGGAGTTGGTCTTCTGCCTGTGTGTCTATTAAAACCTTTTATTGAAAAAGTGTTGCAACTGTTGCAGATTGTCACCACCAGTGGAAAAATTGTCTTTAGCTCACCAAAATATAAGAGCAGCACAAGAACACGTAACTTCTTGTACAGAACAAATGTAGAAACAAAACAAATAACACTGGAAAATAACCAACAATGAACTCTAAAACATGGTACACTGGTACATAGAAAATTACAAATTTTATGCATTTACGTAATAATAATTAAAACAAAAAAAACTAAATATTTCCACTGCTAATCCTTCTCTGTAATCAGGTGGATTTTACCCATATTTTGATTTATTTATTTGTAGACAGTTTAGAAACTGTTTTTTAATACTCAAATTACAAAATGAACATACTAATAATCCTTTTTTCTTCTTTTGTTTCTTGAATAGCACAAATAGAAAAACAATGATCACAGGGTGCAGTCATTCCTCTAATCACCTATTCCATACATACACTAAAGAACCAAGCACCTCACTAAAAACTGTTCACATTTGAAACTATTTCAGATTAAGGTTACACATTACTAAAAAAATGAATCTTTTAAAGAAATGCATATTGCCGGTTGGATTCCTCATCTTTTAGAAAAACTAAATCATCAACGTAAGGCAAAGATATGTTCCAAATTGAAAATATGTATAGTTTGTTCCATAAATACAAGACAATTCCTACATTTGACTGAGCTTAAAGTGTTTCACTGAACCTACACAGATCATAAGTCACAGTGATCAACTGTGAGCAGGTTCCTTTTCATGTGTTCTACAAAGAGCCTGTGGATTAAGCATGCACAAGTCCGTTTCATAATGTCTCTCTCTCCCTCCCTCTCCCTTAGTGCCTGTGGATCCAGCATTAACAGAGCTTTTCAGGTCAGTGGGATTGAATAAAGTGAACTGCACTGACACACACACACACACACACACACACACACACACACACACACACACAAGTGGCCAGCTGTTGTGTTAGCTGTGAGGTAGAGACAGTGAAACCATTCCTTCCAGCTGCCCTGGCGTCACTACAGTGAGCTCTGATGCCGCTTCTGTCTTTCTCTCTGTTGCTGTTCCTCTACGTTTCTGTTTCCTCAGCCTCAGAGAGAGAGAGGATAGTTCTCCTGCTCTCCCCTCAGTCCTCACTCCGTCTCCCTCCCGTTAGTTGGACACCTTCACCGTCACAAAAGATGATAATGGCAAAACAGAAACAAAACGCACCCAATTCTTTCTTCCCACTCGTTACAATTCCCCCGTATGAAATATTAAATAAGAGGGGTTTCTCATCGTTTAGTGGTCCAACTAGACAAGCTAAATAATTCACAATCATTTGTGTCTTATGTGTTTGATGATATTTAGCATGATGGACCATTATCAGTTCATTACCATGCAGCACAACTCTTTCTCTGTTTCCTAGCCTACAGCCTGTAAGCTGTTGTTGGGTGAGGTGAGTGGGTGGAAGGTAGAACACAGCTTTATTTCAAAGTTAAAGGTTTTCTTTGTCACTGGAAAAGTTTCCTTCATATGTTTTTCTACGGAATCATATCGTGATGAAATCATATATTGAGATATCGTGATACACAATTATGTTGTCTGCATTGATGATACTAAGCCCACTGAAATGATCTTAATCTGATAACTCTGAATTTGTGCTGTAAATATGAATGACTTTTTTAACTTTAATTTCACTTGAACCTAAAATGTTCATCATGAGATATGACGCAGTACTTTTTATTGATTCACACAAGAGTATAGAAAACAGGCTTTGCCATGTGGTTATTTCATATGGACTGTGTCTTTATTGAAATACCAGAAAGCATGCTATATATGGTGATATGTATCGTTATCGAGATATGAAAGGACTTAAATGTGGACAGAAGATTTTGGACATAATGAGGATAAGCTTAGTTGGACTTTTTATTTTGTCACGAGATTTAAAAAAAAAACAAGTTAGTCTAGATACTCAACAATGTCACTGGTATTGGTGTTATTTTGCAGCATCACACATTACCTACTATTACAAGAAATGCATTATTAACAGCCTCTGCCCAGTCACATTGCAGTCCAGCCTCCTCACACTAAACTCCTGCAGGCTGCATGTCAAGTCTCAATGGTGGGAAGCTCCAGTGTTGTGATGCCTCGATATATGTGGGTCCAGATAGAACACTCCAGTGAGGCTTTAAGAGTGCAATAATAGGATGTGTACTGGGTGGAAGTAAAGAGATGTATGCTTTATTATCCTTGGCACGTATAAGAAGTGTAGAGGGCAGCGAGCATGTACGGAGCTGGTGCCAGCAGCAGGCCGGTATACAGGCCGCCTGCCTGCACTGCTTAAAGGTAGAGCTGGGCCATACGGAGGAAATCAAATATCATGATATTTCTGACCAAAATGATTACAATGTTGGAGGTTTGACTATTAATGCTTTCACACGATATTTACACAAAGAGATTTTTGATAAATAATCATCAGTAATGAGGATTTAATAACTAAGTGGGTAAAGGCGAATAATAGGACAGCTAGCAAAGTCTGGTAAGTTCAGAAACTCATCACTTTACTGTAATGCAGCCTTTAAAACCCGAAAGAGACAACACTTAATATCACGATGTCTCGTCTCATATCAGGATATTGATATAATATCTATTTGTTGCCCAGCCTGACTTAAAGCTAAACTTTGTCACACAATATAGTTTGTAACACTGTTGGGGGTTGGGGGGCCTCCACCTAGCTTGTAAGATATAACAGCTGAGTAGGCTGGGGCAGACTTTGTCAGTGTCACACTCAGAGTGGAGGCTTTGGCTATCTCCTGGAAGCAATGCTTTGCACAATGATGGTTTGACTGAGGGGCTTCTCGACAAAAATAGCCTTGTTGCCATCCAAATGCACTGGCAGCCACTCCTAGGCAATGGCCCTAATGGAGCCCTCACACTGGCGTTGTAGCAGCTTATTGACTTATGTTCCACACAGCGCTACACAGTCTCTTGGGAGGATGAGGAGTGTAGCCCAAAGGATCTAACTGGAGTTCATTAATGTTAGCCACTCAGCCTGCCCGTCCAGTTGCAGTTCTGACTGTTAAGTTAGCCACGCACGCAGAGGCTGGACTGGATTTTTACACATATTTATTTTATCGTCACTATTATTTGCTTGGTGTAAAGTATAACCTGGATGCAGCGGTGGTTATTTCAGTGTCCTCCACTTGTCTTTGCAAGTTGTTCCCACCCCCAGTAATGTGTGAATTCCATTGTGTCCTTGGCTGTGTGGTAGGGGGCGGTTGCAGCTAAGATAAGGGTTCCTGCCTACCTATATATCAATAAAATATTATTCTAGCTGGAAGATTACTGTGTAGCCTGTAGCTGATATTCATAGATTGTACAAGGTGTACTCTCCCTCCTCTCTCTCCTCAATCCTTCATCCCCCTCCACTGTCTCCTTCCCGTCTTTTCACCATTTTCTATCGTTCTCACCTCCCGCTCTCACTTCTCTCTGTCTGCCCCCCCCCACACACACACACACTCTGCTGCCGCCTGCAGATAGTAATTAATCAGGGGATCGATGTGAAGCCTATCTCCAGGCTGAGGCGTCTATAATGTCGATAATGCCGCTCGATGGCCTCTCTCCCCGGAGAGCTGATAGTCTTCAGGACGAACACGCTTGACTTTGCATGCAGCCGCCTGGTCCGCGTCAGATAGGCTGCCGCTGTTATGCTGGTGCAGAGGATCGCACGAGTGTTTTAATGCACACGCACTACTTGCGTGCAGCCATGCAACACACAGCAAGCACACGCAGGAATGGGTGGAGAACTGTGTGCGATGACAGGAGTCATGTGAATGATAGCGAAGTCCTGAGACTGAGGGAACTAACTGTGTTAGGTTGTTAGGTTCTCCGTTAACAGATCAGGTTAAAGACAGGTTTGTGATTGTGGATTTCCCAAACATAGCAATTGAACAACACCATTGTTCATACATGCTAACTGGATTAGCTTGATGTAGTTGTTTGAAGATTAGACATGAGAGTTCTTCCAGTCTGGCTCACAGTGTATGTGAAGCTGTTGGGCAGAGCTTGCTGCTATCTGGTACAAGCTGAAACTTGCCATTTGAAGGCTTTTTTTTGGCTGGATACTCACCCACAAACGACTGTTTTCTTTCCGTAGATACGCCAACGAAACAGCATTGATATGGTTATGGTAAGAGTATACATTATTTATCAGTCACTATCACAACTCTCCTTTGAACCAGTATCTGTCGCTGAAGGAGGTAACACAATGGTGACAGAGCCTGCCTGTCAATGAAAGTATTGCAATATTTATATACTTACAGTATTATGAACCGGATGTCTATATTGACATGCCCGAAAAAAAATACTGTATTACAGTTTTTCTCCTTTACACACTAATTAACATAACTGCACACACCTCTGATTAATAGCATGTTATGGAATTTCAGACGCTGCCCAAGACTCCAGTCTGTTAAACTCAAAGCACAATTACTTTGTCTTCAGTCGGACAGAAACCTTAAATCAATCAGGACTGAAATCTTTAGGACTGCCACTTTAAGAAACTATTCATGTAAAAAAAAAAAAAAATTAAGATAAAATCAGAATACCAAAAGAAAATCTCAAACTCTCAAAAATCAATAGTGGTATCGGCCTCAAAAAGCCAGTATCGGTTGCACTCTTGTGTACATGTCATATTTACCTTTATTTGATATGAGTCCCTCTCATGAACAATATATAATTGCAAGTGCTTCTTGGATTGTTGTCGCTTGTTGACTCCAGGGAAGTGAAGAAGAGTTTGGTTGTAAAGTTAGAATACCCAGCATCCAACAGCTAAAGTGAACTGCAGTCAATGAGCCGCGGCCTGTAAAGACCCACTGCAGACTACATGCTCGACTCGGTCCACAGAGCCCTGCAGAGCCCCCCTGCTGCACACAACGCTTTTATTCAAAGTTTATCGATATTGAACGTGTCCCGTTTCCAAATTGCAGCGACTTCGTCATTGCACATCCTTGGGTCCCCAGCAACACGACCACCAAGTGTCAAGTGGATCCCGAGATTCTTTTCTTTCTAGCTAGATTGGTGCACATAGTACGGGGGACAGGACAACACAACTCAGTTAGAGGGGCAGGTCGGATGACATGAGGGGAGAAGCAGTTTAGAGAGGGCGTCCGTGCGTCATTACAGCTGCCCTGTGTCTGCGCCATGAAAGCAGCCACAGCAGCAGCAGCAGATATTAAAGACATGGAAGGTAAAGGCATCCCTCTCCATTCAAAGCGCCAATTACATGGTTGAATTTCTTTTATGAAAAAATAAATAAAGATAGCTTCAACAGGGACCCCGTCTCAATAGAGCTCATCATGGTTTTTATAAGCACCGGTGGGGTGGGGGAGGGGCTGTGCTAGACCGAGAGCTCACAGCATAAACATTCCCCTCCACATCTCATTTGTCATTTGCATATTTACAGTCTGCCATGCTAATCGTGTTTATTGGCGTGTATAAGCACTGCGCATGAGCTCAATAGGGGAGGATAGCTTTGTGCCAGAGACCGCATGGTAGAGGCACTGGGATACAAATGGGCCCCAACCCCGCCCCCCATTTCTGGAAATAGATGGCTCCTCCTGCAGTAATCCAATTTCAAAAGACAAAAAGAGCCGTCTTACGTAACTGGGACAGCACGGGATTTAGCTAATTATGGTGTTAATGCACAGTGAAGAATTCCCCTGATTTTGAACAAAGGCCACGATTTGTGAAGATATTTTTGTGTTGTTGGGCGTTGTGTAGTTGTGCAGTATCGCATCATCAAAGAGCACTGAATCTATCATTATGCAAGCTGATGGATGTCTGGCTTGCGGGAATAAGGTAACTGTTCACTTGACCGCGTGTAGCCA